CAAATAGGCGTGCAGAGATCCAATCATTATCAAGAGTTTTGTTTTAGATATGATTAGATAATAGATAGCCAATGAGGCACATAACTCTGAGTTGGCTGTCATCTCATATCCAACAAGTGCGAGGGGAACAATGATTTTATTTTGATAAAAAAGTTAATGAACAGGAATTATGAACACATTTAAAAATGTGTTCATAAAATGTAGAAAATTCACATCAAGTAAAATTAAAAATGCCCCCAAAATTATGTGTATACTTACCATATTTGTAGAGCATGATGTGATCGCTCACATTCCATGATGGCTAAGCCAATGAAAACTCTTGAATTGTATTATCCAATGATCCAGTTTTTAAAAACACTAATATATCTAATAGATTTAGCCAAGCCTAAAAGCAGAGTTCCTGATTATATAAACTAAATGTGATTTTGAGACAGCCATACTGCAATAATAATTTATCATATAGACTGGAAAATACACTACTCATAAAATTCATACAAAACTAAATCTGAGACTCAGTGGCATGTTTTCCATATCCTCACTAGTGAAGATATCGATTACTTCACTGATATTATGTTTGACCCTTAAACTGTACTTAAATTTGCTGGTGTGTGATCGAAACTCCTCAAAGTCTTCAGCAATCTTCAGTTATCTTTGGTAATCTTCAGAAATTTTCGGAAATTGTTCAAAAACATTTGTGTGGCCTTCAGCCAAGTTTTGGAGAATCTTCAGAAATCCTTGGATAGTGGAATAATACATGGTCGCTGGTAGATTTGGAATATCTCTTCTTGTGTTCAACTGTATATCTCACTCGAAGAGATATTCGATATCTACTCACGTCCATGAAGATATCAAAGAGATATTTGATATCTACTTGCGTCCATTATCCTCTATATATCGGCGGCTAGTTGGGAGAAAATTTAACCTCGTATTAGGCTCTGTTGCTTCACGACTACTCCCAACATGAGAAAATATTTTCTCCCTATTAGCCGCCAATATATTGCGGTATCGCAGTCTCAAAATCACATTTAGTTTTATATCACGATTTAATCATTCTTTGAGAATACTGTACAAAAAAAACGCGACACTTCTTTTGATTAAAATATAAAATCCTAGTCCATGAGTCTAGAGATGAGTCCAGAGACTTAGCTACTCTTACAGAGACTGCATGACATTTAGCTGTCTTGGTGGGAATAGTTCCATTTAAGTTCTTGTAAACAGAGCCACTGATTGAATTGTGAAAATTAAACCCTGATAAAACTAGGCTTGATGTTACATTTCTTATGGTAAAAAAAGTTACTTTCTTTTGCTGTACATCATAACCAGACAGACTTGAATCACAACTGTTTAAACAGTTGTAAAAGAGTCCACTGAGTGCTGCTACTTCCAGAGGCTTTTAATTCACAAAACAATAACTCTTGCACACCTTGCATGCCTATGTTTCACATATGTCAAACTATTCTTGGATTCTGATTTATTGGGGGACCAGTGCATAGACGACTACATTAACATTTTTTTTTCAGTAATAGATGACAGATGACTTGAAAATATGGTAAGAACATCAGTGAGACACTCACCTAACAGCTTGTGCCACTTTTTGTTCTTACCATATTTTTAGGTCATCTGTGAACTGTTACTGAACAGAAAGACAGCAACATAGAGCCTTTTTGTTAAATAGAATAAAGAAACAAAAAAATGTTTATGACATCAGCTCTTAGTCTGTCCTCCAATATATCATAAGTAAAAACAATCAAAATGGTTATTCTTACTTCAAGCAATCAAAATAAAAAAAATAAAATAAAATAAAGAACAATCAAAATGCAAGAGTAATTTCACTTATATCTACATAAATAATAATGCATGCTCAGGTCCAATAGCAGGTTTTCAGCATGAACACAAAGCACTGGGCACCAGAAAAGCCATATTCCTGCTGGTGTGGGAACGAGGAAAGTAATGGTGAAAGTAATGGTGAAAGTAATATAATGCGTCTTAGGATGTACTCATTACTAGATTGTGCTATTCCCTACTGTAAGGCATGCAGCGTGATGGTGGTTGCTCTTATGGTAGAGATGACCTTTTTGATGTCATTGTCAGTCAAGTCATTTTTAGTGAACGGAAAAGAAGCTTCTATTGGTCAAAGCCAATCTGAGCCATCCCATGATTGCTTTGAACTTGACTCAGTTACTAATGACAATAGGATTTCTTATGTAAGAGGATTCTAGCACTCAGTCCACTACTTTTCATACTTCGCTTTAATTGTGGAAGGAACAAAACTAATCTTAAAGAAACTGGATGCTAGAGCAAAAGCAGAATAGACTCTGAACCAGGATGTTACATCTTGACGTCTGACCGTCCTTTGAACTTAGCCTGTGAGAACTTGCCCAGGCTATAGTGGCTTTTATAGCTTTTATATTACATTGTTAATGCCTGATGTATTTACAGTGTTTTTAAATGAAGATGATGATGATGATGGCTTGTGTCATGGGCGTACGAGCTGGGGGGACGGTGCGAGGGGGGCTGCAGCCCCCCCAGCTACGGAAATTATGTGATTTTTCACGCAAAACGCTTGTGATCTGGGCAGTAACAACTGAGAGAACTCATTACAAAATAATGCTGTTGGCGTGTTTTCCAAAACTCGTGAATAAAGTTTCTAGTTGTTACTTTTTTTAGAACAATTTCTTCTAAAAAGTTTTAGATTTTACTCGGATTTGAGACTGTTATTAGAGTATGATTGATTGATTGATTGAGTATGCAATCTTTGAACAAAACTATTTTTGGAATTACCGTGTGACATGAAATTTGTGTGGGATCTAATTTTCGCGGATGTTTAATCGATCTGCGAGAATTAAATCCCGTGAAAACAAACTCCCTCCAAAAAAAATTCCGCAAAAATTTACTCCTTTTATTTAAATTGCCAAATTTCAATCAAATTGATTGCAAACAGTGTAACCAAAAATATGGCTTCTGTTTTTGTCACTTTCAAGTACCGCACATGAAATCCGCAAAAAAATTCTTCCCAGGAGTAAAGTTTGAAATCCAAATTCACGAAAATTTATTCCCTCGAAACTCAAAAAATCCAAAATCTGTGAAATTAAACTCCCGCAAAAGTTTCATGCCACACGGTTTCAGCAGATGTGGGAATTGTGAACAAGTTTGTTTTCATGCAATATGAGTGCATTTGCATCCCGTTTTCAACAATCACGCATTTGGGAATTGCCTAAATTTTTTAGGGCAAGAAGGTCGCTGCCGCCGCCACCCCCCGCCCCCCAAGTCTGAAAGTGCCCGTACGCTTATGTGTGAATCAATAAGAACAAGGCTTGCCTTGTGCATGCAGCTGGCCTGGAGTCCATTGTCTTCAATAAAATTCAACTGCATGTCAATTATTACTTGACAAGTAGTGAATAAATCAATTGAAAGTAGATGGGAAGTGCCCATCAATTCCAGTAGTGTCCCTGGGCCATTACCCCCTAGGCATTAGCATTTTTTTTTCAAAAAGGGAAAATTCCTGGCTTGGTGGCAAATAAGTGGGTCAAATGCATCAGGCTGAAAGCAAAAAATCCAAGGAAAATGCCCTGCTCCTGGACTCCTCTGGAGAATAACACTGCTCAAAATTCCACAAATCAGAACAAGAATGTGTTATTCACCAACATTATTTTGTATGAACTGTTTTGTTCACATGTAAATTTATCTTTCCGTTGGTTGTAACATTGTGTAAAAAGTTTTCGCGACCACGCTATCATAGCTACTTTTGTTTATTATTTTGTTGATTATGACAACCATATCTATTTTAACATGCACAGATCGTAAGTGTACAATACCAACATAATTATGATGCACATAATGTTGAGTCATTGAATCAAAAAATCATATGATCATTTGTTACCAATAATGTAAAAGATTTTTGTGAAACTTATCATTTCTGATAGCTATAGAATTCATACATCTTATATTGTATTGTAACTAATTTCATTTCATCCATGTGATCAACAGGAGATGAAATAAATCAGAGAACATCCTGCTTGTGTTCTGTACCACTTGTGAGACCAAAACACAAGGGCGTCAAATGTCTGGGATTGTTTAGGGGGGGAGGGCAAATCCCTGTGCTAGTGGGCAATAATAAAAATTCAAATGCTGTATCCATGGAATTAAGACATAAGCAAATACCTGGCTATTGCCCAGGGGCAGGGAATCACACTCCCGGCCTGGCCAATGTCTGGGCTGGCCTGACAGTAATCCTTTTGGTTTTGTTGCTAGCCTCTTTGGGCTATCAGCCTACACACACCGTTTCCAGTGTTTTCAGTAGTCCTCTACTTAGAAATCCATGGCGCTGAGATAATAATTTTCTTTATTGTGCAATACCTTTTAAGTGAAGAAATGATTGTTGCATTTTTGTTTGAAATATGAGAAAAGAACCGAAAAAGTGTCCTGCCCTCAATTCATGTGTCTTCATAGTCAAGCCCGGGGGGGGGGACTCCCATATGGAGTGGACGGGGATGCTCCTCGGAAATTTTGAATTTAACCCCTAAAAGAGACCAATCTGGGCGTGGCTGAAGCTTATGCAGATCCCTGAGAGAGACCAGTTTATAAAACAGACAAATAAAAAGTACAGTGACTTTTAATGATGGCGAATTTGTTTATATGAATTGAGTAAATATAAAGAATCAAAATTCTTTCTGTTTTGTTATTTCTTCACGTGCAACCCTTAACGAGACCTTGACAGCTAAAAATAATGACATTTTGCCCAGAACACCCTAAGCGAGACCAAAATCTGAAATTTACATCCCTAAGCGAGACGACGAGCATCCCCGTCCATTCCATATGGGAGTCCCCCCCCCCCCAGGTAGTCAAGTTGGTAGAGCATCACTTTAGTTGAAGCTTCTATGCAGTAATTGCTTGATATTAAAAAGATCTGCAAGGTTCATTCTTGACCTTTTATGCTCCACCCATATTTGTGTAAAGTAGTACTTGTTGCATGATAAGAACTGCTTTTATTTTCTTCTTAGATACATATGTTAAAGTGGCCATGTTTAATTCTATTGGACAGCAACTCTCCAAGAGCAAAACATCAATACGTCGAAGCATGTGTGACCCTGAGTACAATGAGAACTTTGTATTCCAGATCATTGAATTTGAACTACCCAGTGTAAGCCTCATGTTTTCTGTGGTCAACATAAAGAAAATGAGGCGTAAGGAAATTATAGGTTGGTTCTCAATGGGCCGTGATAATACTGGTGAAGATGAAGAAGCACACTGGAAAGAAATGATAGAAGCTAAAGGACAACCAAGGAAGAGATGGCATATTCTTAGTGCTGTAGACTACTGATATTATAAATTTGAAAAGTCTAATGTTATTTATGCAATTAATATTGTATATAAGAAATAATGGATTAAGTTAAGTATTTATTTACCAGTCTATAATTTCCATTTTTTTACAATGTCAAAGCAGTATTTTTTTTTATAAGCATTAGAAGTAGTTAATATTGTTTCATTTGAATTAGTTTCCTACATAGTGTCTATAAATTTGGTGAATTTTGTGGTAATTACAACCTACTGACTCTGTTTAGTAATCAGTAAAGAAGAAAAATAACACTGGATATGGTGGTAGGTTGTAAATAAAATTAAAATAGATATAAATGCTAGAAAGGGGTTCTCTACATAAGTGAATATACCAATGGCAGCTTAGATCTGACTGATACAACCTTTTCGAAGTAAAATACTTACTATGGTGAGTGCTAAAACACTGAACTTTTCCTCAACATGAAAGGTTTCAAGGGGATTCTTTCAAGAACGGACTACCTTTGAAACTACATGTATAGCACTTTAAGAGATCTACATTCTATGTATCCCTTTAGTACGTGTTATGGCATTGAGTCACAAGTTGAAAATTTGAAAAGCAATAAACATTTAAAAGCCTATCTCAGCACTTTGTGTGTGTGATGCACTTGGTAATAAATGTACTATTAAAATATTGTAAATGTAACTTTCTGTTAAATGAACTATCCAGTATACTATTTAAGATGTATGAATTTTGACCAATCCCCTTGCCCGAAACATAATTTTAAAAAAATTTTATGACTTTTTTTTTCTGTAAATACAAATTATCACTGAGACTGAATGTGTTACGTTCACACCTACAAATCTCACTGGATCATGTGTACTAAAGGCATCCATCATTGTGTGTCGATCAATACCCTAGATCAACCCTCGATCAACTTCTTGATCAACTCTTGATCGACATCTTGAAGATTGGAGACTTCGACACTTCGAGATTTTGATCAATACTCAGCTAACACTCAATCAACATCTTGATTGACAGTTGGTCGAGACTAATATGTATCGACTGACACTTAATGGCATGTCTGGAAAAATAAGTCGACTCTCGACTGAGATGTCAATGAAGTGTGGATTGAGTGTCAACCAAGGTGTCAATCAAGTATTGATTGAGTATTGATCAAGGGTATTGATCAACATTTGACCATGGATGCCATGATCCATCTCACTTGCACTAGAAATAAAGAGGTAAATAAAGAAATAAACTAAATAATTAAAACCAAATTAAACAAAACAACCGTACACCGAGTCACAGTACACTATTGCACAGTTGAAAGATAAAAAAAGTACAAGAGACATGTTAAAACACTTGAAATTACAGTAAGGCTCAATTTATTAACAATTAAAGCACTGATTACATTCTTATAAAGCCTCTTGTAATTCTTGTAATTAACTTTATTCAGTTAACACTCATAAATAAAAAGCTTAGCAGTATCAATTCATTCAAAACAATAGTCTTCACTGTTACTTAAACATGTTCAACAAATGGCCTTGACCTTATTGTTCTGAAGTTCTGTTAATTAAATTTATGCATGTGACCTCGGCTTTCTTTAGAATTCTTTTCTTAAAGCAAAAAACAACAATGAAGTTTCTTTTCTTCAAAGTTGACTCAAGTTTGAAAGCAATGATGTTGAGTTACCGTAAATGATCTAATAAACGCCCTCTCTCTAATGAACGCCTCCTATCTTAGTAACGCCCCCCTAAGCTGACAAGTTTGTATTAAATGCCCCTCTCTAACAAACGCCCCCTGTCTAATAAACGCCCCCCTTCCCTGAAAACCACACATAAACTGGAAACATATGTACAATACAATCAATTTATTTGCGTTCTTGCTAAATTAACAGCGGTGTGCGAGTCGCGTATTGCTCAATTTCCAGTTCAAAGTGAGGATAGCGTTCTTTAATCTTCTTGACCTCTGTGCTTAGGATATCAGCAATTTTCTTTCAGCTTGTCCTCGCATTGTAGCATCCCGGAATTCCAAGGCCTACTTCACGTTTTCGTTTTCCATATACTTGTACAGTGAGAGAGTTCGACTCGTTTGAGGCTAAAAAACCAGCCAGCACTCTTGAAAGTTCAAAGGGGACATGCCCTGCTAATTAACAAATGGTAAACGCCATAGCGTGTACTATTGAGTTTTATATAATAATCAAAGTAATTCTCGCATTTTGATTGGTTCTCGCCTATGATCTATTAGAGGACAGACGCACGATTGACGTCATCATTTCAAAGTTTTTCCCCCTGTGTTTTA